CAGCCGTTTTCCAACTATGGGACTAACTACAGCTAAAGCACCAAATACTGTTGCAGATACAGCTCATAGTTACAGCAAACCAGAAAAATTATATATTATGACTGCTAACACTTCATCAAAATGTTCAGTCACTAATCGGACAAACTACCAGTCCTGGAAATTGTAAATGATGCTGCTGATAAGACAGTTTACATGTGAGTAAATGAACACAGACCAAACCCATCTACAGATGAAGATCGTAAAGCTCAAAGTACTATATGTTTGAGCATAGATGATGATCAAACTGTCCACATATGCAAGTGTAAAACTGCAAATGAAAGACATGCTGGAAGGTTAATTGACTCCTGTCTAAATCAGCCCCGTATGTATGCATGTGAGATAGGGACCTTAGATTGTAAGCTCCTTGAGGACAGGGACTGATGTGCATGTGCACTATGTAAAGCGCTGTGTTAAATTGTCGGCGTTATATAAAATACCGGTAATAAATAAATAATAAATGAAAGAGCTACAGAAAATACAGGAGAAAGCAAATATTTGTAATAAACTGTACCTATTTAGAAAGCTGAAACAGACTAAGCTATGAAAGGCCAGCACATACAGGACTATATCAGATGGACCTTAGGAAAGGTGGAACATCTGCAAGCTATAGGAGAAGAATGAAAATGCTTTCATATAGCAGCACTGCTGCTCATTGATCTCTCAAACAGCTGTGAGACACTTGTTACAGAGCTTAATGCTCACCAGATGAAGAGCTAACCCTGGAATATGTTCAAGAAAAACTTACCGATGAATAGAAATGAAAAACGGAACGTTCTCGTAAGTGTTCCTATGGCAGAACCTGCCCTAAAAACCAACAGCCGAATTATAGTATTATGTATTGTGTGCTAAAAAGACAGGTCACTTAAAGGCAAACTGCAGAATTTGAAAAGCTAGAGTAAATCAGCGAAATGAGACAAGTTAAAGCTAAATTCCAGGATAAGTAAATATTGTCTAAATGCAAAAGGTGTGTGTCATGCTACTTCTCTTGATATGCTCTATGTATTTTTTCCAGATCTGTGCAGTGCCAGCATGAAACTTTGTTTATGTGCACAAACCTCCTGTAATAAAGACCAGTCATTGCTGGTCTCTCCTCTTGTGGAGGGTGACTGGTCATGTGGCTATTAGGAAACATTTTTAAATTAAAGTTTTTGTGCGTGGGGTTCAACTTTAAACAACAAAAGACCAAAAGTGTTAAAGAAGAAATAGATACTTCAGATAGTGAGCAGGCACCTTGTCATTTACCTGTTGCATTGACTCTGAAGTCAATGATAAACATTTCTTCACTCAGCTGGACCAAAGCAAGTTAGAAAGATTTACAACAGCTAATGGACAGTATATAGTCTAAGGAAATAGAGGAAGGTTATCTACATTGCCCTCTATCCTAAACAGTCACAAGAAAGATACTTATCAAAAATGTACTACACTGAGTGGCCAGTTTATTATGACCACCTGACGTTTGTAGGCAAATTAGCTATAATTAGCTATAATTTCGCGCTGAAGTTGCTAGAGGGCCAGACCATTATAAATAGGGAAGCAGGTTGTTTACCACGACAGTAGAAGTGATTTTTTTCTGAAGATATGGGTAAACAATGCGATTTAACAGCCTTTGAACGTGGGATGATTGTTGGCGCTCGGAGCCATGAAGCGAGTATCAGCAAAACAGCAGAATTCGTTAAATGTTCAGGTGGGGCTCATTGTTAAAGTGTTTAAAGACTGGACTGTCAGCCGAAAATCTGGGTCTGAACGTGCGAATTGTGGCCGTCAGCGACTAGTCAATGTTAGGGCAGAATGGAGAGTGGCAAGACTGGTACAAGACAACAGAAGGGCAACAGTGCAGTGTCAGATTCCTCACATCACCTTTCAACATCTCGTGGAGTCACGAGGCGGCCCAACTAAGCCATCTCGTGGAGTCGTCTCGTGGCCCAACGAAGTACTGATGGGGTGGTCATAATAATCTGGCCACTCAGTGTATATGTTTCTGCTCTTGAAAGTAACCCACTATCACTGTCAACAAGCATGCAAATGTAATGACATCAAGCAGAAACAGCTGGTGTGTTTTAATGAAACGTAGCCACATAGTAGCAAAAAGGAAAATCACAGATGAACTATATCAGCTTAAGTGCAGTGAAGTGGTTACAATGTCATAGAGAAAAAGACATTAACTGTATTCACACATGTCACTGTCCTTTTGGACACAGGAATCCTAAACCTATAAAGAAGCTAGCTGAAGATCAAGATGTTCCAAAATATGCATCATATAAATTGATCCACAAAGTTAAATAATGAAGCGTACCAGCTGCATTAAGGAAACAATGACCAGGAAATATTTTCCAAAAGGATTAACAGAGCCCAACAACCTCTAGACTTAATTCACTCAGTTCTCCATAGTCTTATGAAAGTTCAGACTTCAGGAAACATACGGTATTTTCTCACATTCATTTATGACTGCTCTACCTGTTAAACTGCAAAGATGTTCCAGGTAAACTTGAACAATATCTCACACAGGAAAGCAATAAAATTTGGCAAAATACTCCGAACAGATAATGGCACAGAATACACAAGTGGTAAAACACATGCTATACTAAGGTAGCATAGAATTAGAGTTACGTTTCTCAAACCATTTTTCAGTCATAATACCCTTTAAAAGTATGTAAAATCTCAGCTAGATGCCTGTCATAAGTGGTTTTGACAGCGCCACAGCCTGAGCCAGCATTATAGGAAGAAATGCAAAAGCTATCTTTATCTTCTCTATCTATCAAGAAAATAAAAAGGGGGTTAAAGCTGAAGATAAACAGATGACATCTCTCAAAGCTACTATGGAAAGTTGTAAGTATACCAATAGAAACTGCTTAGTTGAAAGTTAAAAGAAGATCTGTCCAACAATGAACAGTTCAGATAAGCAGAAGGAGTAATTTTTTTCAATCAATAATTTTTTATTTTATTTTTGTTTTACAATACAAAACATCAGTCCAACATATCAGTGACAGAGGTTCACGTGTGATGGCAAGACATGGATATTTAGTTTCCTCGACACTTTTGCTACATAGGCACTGCTCCTGTGGGAGCAGCACACAACGGTTTAACACAAAGTTACCAGTAAACATTTCTAAGATCATTAATCTAGTAGAATTAGTGAACTTCTAATATTCTAGATGTAACAGAAAGAAGTGTAGACATATGTGGGGGGCCGCGTACTACCCGTACGCCACCTTCGTTCATTCAAGAGAAGGAGTATTTTTATACATTGCAACCACTACCAAAGCCAGTTTGAAGAATTCCAAAAGAAGATGGAACTTAAAGGAGAAGTAGTTGAATAGGGGTATAGCATGCTGTCTATACAGACATAGGTGCAACAACCATTCTCATATACTATACTGTGATTAGTAGTTCTGCCACTAGGTGGTGGCATTCTTACATAAGGTAATGTTCTTCCTAGTGGAACTACATTGTTATGATGTAATTTCCTGATTCTGTGTTCCTTTTGTTTTCCAATAAAACAAAAAGGGCTCAGCCATGTGCCCAGCACCATCTGACTGATAAGAGTCATATCTGCAGCAGCTTCCCAACAGAGTAGGAGTCCCAACACTGTGACTCAGTCAGGCTATATTTTAAGCATTGTCATTGCTGTCATTCTAACACATGTCATGCACCAGTGACTGCAGGGGGAGCTGTCAATTATGATTTTGTTAGCGAAAAGTTAATGAACAAATAGCAGATGAACCACAGTTTTATATCCACTTGCACAACTTATTATCAGCCAATCTGCTTTACAGGGAGACAAAGAAAGGAATGGATCGTATGACCTCTCATTGATTATAACTCATTATAACATTACGCTAATAAAGGGTAAAAAGGTCCGGAAAGGTGAAAATGACATAAAGGAAACTTTGTTGAGAGAAATGCAGAGGCTGACATTACTGACATTCTTTGAATACTAGTTGTATTGCTGTGTCTAGCTTCCATTAAAGTCAGAATTAAGTCAAAATATCAGACCTGCTTGCTGGTTCTAGGTTTGGTTCTCTGAAAGTACTGGATCAGTATGGCAGCCAGGCAGCTAGCAATAACAGAAAGGGAGATCAGCTATGGAGACCTCCATATTCTCTCAGTACAGGTACTTTTAAGCCTTTTCCTTGCATGGATGTGAGTACTACATCCATGGCAGCATAACCTGTAAACTGATTCCTGCCTGCTATAGCAGGAGTGGCATTGGTGCCTGTAGTGAGTCCAGACGCAGCAGAAGTTCAGAAGTCTTGGAGATGCTCAGAACAGGTCTGCACAAGAAGCTGGTATGAAGATCAGGCAACAGGAACTTGTTAGTGCAAGTAGGAGAATCAATGCCAAGACAAGCATTTTCAGTAGAAGCCGGGCAACAGAGGTAACAATTCAGAAGCAGGAGCAAGGTCAACTTAATAAGACAGGCAACAGAGGTAACAAGACAGGAGTTGAAGTTAGAATGCGAGCCACGGTCAGCAAGATCTGATACAGCAGTGTCAGGAGGCAACCAGTGTCAAACCCAGGCTAGCAAAATGCAGGTCAGGTCATGGGTCACAAGTGCTGACCACCACTTAGCAACTCTCCTCAGTTGTGCTGTGCTTTAAATAGGGTTGCTAGTGCTGGTTGTGCACGCTCATTCACACAAATGCACATGTGCATGAGCATGCACATCAGCATGTGCGGGCATCCATGAGTTCATGCAGTGCGTCACATGCTGTAACATGTGAATGCACAGATGTCCAGGCCCCACTGTGTGCTCAACCTTTCTAACAGTATATTTCACATTTTGATGAAAACAGGGAGGAATGATGGACTGGAGATTTTTTTCAAAAGTGCACCTATCCTTTATGATATGCCAATTTAAAGGTAACATTTGTGAAACTCTCGTACAGTAAAAATTGGCTTGTTTAAATTACAGTAAAAAAAAGGTCTGTATTCTGTTCTAATCACTTTTTCTTTCTACTCAGGTGGCAGATTTTGATTTCTCGCCTGTCATGGACAAGTATGAAACTCTCCCAGACTATAGGGAAATCTCTGCAATAACATGTTGCACTTGCTGCAGACCAGAAGAAGAAACTGAGGAGGAAGCAGAGACTCAGCCTTTGTTACGCACTCCGTCTTCATCAACTAGGAGTTACACAACATAACTCTCATTTGATGCTGTTGCTTTTCTAAAGGAACTCATGCTCAGGTTCAGTAAGTCATTCAGTAGGAATAATTGTGACCATTTTGAACAATCATCTCACTATGTATGTATATGTGCAGATATACGCATAATACTTGGATGAAGTATCAATAATGTATGTCTATGTGCAGGTATACGCATAATACTTGGATGAAGTATCAATAATGAGACGTCTACTCCCACCTGCCCTTTATGGCATAAGTCACCAAGGCAGGAGGAGATGTGAAATCTCCCCAACAGGGATGCAAGCAGCAATTACATTTTGACAGTTGTTCCTTCCTTACACTAGCTAAAGCAATGGAAACATTTTGGCTAGAGCTGTACTTTAATTATTTATCATTTCCACTGTATATGGGTACATCAAATATTGCCTTAATAAGCTCAGCATACAGCTCAGTACTGTACTCATAAAATGTGAAATTGTGAACATTTTACATTTTGAATAAATATGTGAATGACACAAAAAAGAGATTACACCCATCAATTGTTTTCTTTATGTTATGGTTGTGACTGGAAGTAGGAAACGGACACCCTGACAACTAGGACTGGCAAACTAGAATCAAATGAACATGTCAAGGGCTTTGGATTTAAGGTGCTAGAACTAGCAGAACATAGTTGTTAAATGCATTCCCTGTATTTAGCATAGGAGTGATATGGCTCTTTACATGATATGGTTATAGCAACAGTGATATTTGTTAGCACATGATACGCTGAGTACAAATGCTGGAGGATCACACTTTATTTTATCTAACATTTTCCTATTCTGCCATTTAGCCTTTATATTTCTGGAAATTTGTTTTCAGATGAAATAACCTGTAATACTATTTCTTCATTATACAGAGAAACAGGAATTCAGAAACATTGGGGCTCACTGCCGCCTACAGATGCTCAGTTACTGGCAAACAGAAAAAGTTGTAAGCCAGCCCCTGTAAAGCCCCTCTTCTACCCAGCATGCTGCAGCAATTCACATTAAAAGGCATACTATCAAAGGAGTTGATGGTATTCTCACCTTTTGGGATTTGTCAAACAGTGTCAGAATATGATCCCCACATCACTGCACTGGAGTAGACCCTTGTCTCTCGTTGAGCAGTTGGAGCAAATGTTTGGAAACTTGCACTGTAGTTGTCACAGTTTACAAGCATCTAAGCTGGTGTCTCAAATGGGACTGATGTCAATTCGTATACGTAGGCCACTTTGGCTAATTTGTGCCTGTGACGCTGATGATATAGCCAAGGAACTACTGACTTGGTTGGCTTTTGAGGGATGCTGTCTCTTCACACTTACTATCGGATACTTCATATACTACATCCTTAGTAGTAATATCTCACTAGCACTGACACTCCTCCCTGCAGGGAAATTGTTTATTTTCTAATGTGGATGTACCCTTTTGCGATACTTAACATTCCCCAGTCCAAAGTATAAACCAACTGTTTTTGAATTCTTGTGTCCCTCAATGGACTCGGTAAATACAAAAATCTTATTATACTTAATATAGTTTTACAAGTTTCCCCTGGGGTTTCTGAGTCTTTGACAATACACCCTCATAATCTATACAATTAAGTACTTCCCTTAGTTATTTAAATTTTGATTTTATAAAGTTTATAGTTTTAACACTTTGAATACCATCTCAATTAATATTGTGGTTACAGTTGCCCAAAGGCTCCTAGATATGGGCATTTGATATGGTGTCTACTCTATTTAAAAATGTCCTAATCTAGCAGAGCTTCCCCTCTAGTTGGTTCAGCCACCACTTGTGAAAGATAGTTGTCTTACAAATAAAAAAAACCTTGTTGTTTGCTATAAACGCTGACTTTATTATCTCAGTTGATGACTGAGTAGTTAGATCTGAGCTATATCATGTGAGGAGGCTTATAACTGGCCCCAATTAATACATTACAGCTGTTACTGTATATTTCCCTATACACACTCTATACTGACTTTAGAGAAGTGTTAATTTAAAGCTGGTGTAAGACAGACTCCCTTTAATTTATTGTCTTTTTACCCTTTCTACATGCACTGCTGCCTTCTAGCTTCATTATCATCCATAGCTGTGTTCAAACCAGGACTTTTATTTTACTAGTTAATTCACTGTATCAAAATATTGGTCTGTTAAAAGCAAAGGCAGTTCAAGTTTGTTCGAAAGATGTCTTTGATTTACTAACAGGCATTCTTTATTTTAAATATTTTATATCTTTGCTTTTAGCTGATCTGTGACTATACCATACCAACAGAAGAGAATAGAGAACAGCTGCCTGTTTGCTTCTATATCTGCAGTGCCAGAGTTCATACCCAGATAGCAAGGATAACTTGCCACAAACTTGTGGCGGGGTGAAATTGTAATTTTGTTAACTTGCTGCATACATTCCTGGCAAGTTGTAGACTTGCAGAACAGTTACAGCACAAGTTCTAGTTGACACTTTTTGAATTTGTAGCAAATTTGCTTGGCAAGTCTACAGCAAGAGTCCTGCAGGTCTTAGCAAGAGCTCTGCAAGCTCGCTGGTCTGGAGACTTGCAATGCAGACTTGCTGTAACTGTGCAACAAAATTGGGAAGCTTGGCAAGTCTGCAATAGTTTAGCAAGTCATTTTCAAACTTGCAGCTCAATTTCTTGTTATCTGGGTAGATAATAATTGATGTACTTAACTGCACTCATGTGATCATTACAAAAACAGATCATCAACTGTTAGAAGAAGGCAGTCAATGCATATTTGTATTTAAACCCTACCTATTCACCTATCATATATTGAAAACCAATTGTGGAAACTGGAATGCACATTTAGAGGGATCACTGATGCCTTCCTTATTCCTAGCCTTTGTCTGCAAACAGGCTGAATGTAAACAGAAAAATATTTGCACTGCCCCGGGCCTGTAATGACAGATTTTAAAGGGAAAGAAAATGAAGAATAAAGAGTTTATATTTGGAAATTTACTTGGTGTCCCTGGCTATATTAAATGAGCTAACCTGTTTAAAAATCGAGTTATCCTTTGAAGGCACGGGGCCTTTCTGAACATAAATCCAAATAGTGGCTGTGTGCAAATGATAAAATCATGCTTAAACATGTCCCAAAGCACTGGAAGCAGAAGGGAGGTCACAAGGCCCAAAGGACTCTTGCATTGATCTTTTAGTAGTGGTTATGGAACAAAGCTGCAACACAAATTCAGTGGGGTACAATCAGCATGCTTAGAATGTGAGAGAATGTGATCCATGCTTAACATGCACAAGGATAGATAACCTTACTTGCTTTATGCAAAATCCTGGCAAATCTTGCTGCCTGTGTAACACATACATATAAAGTATATGTATATATATATGGTGTCACAAAGGTGGCCTTTCCTTTGTGGCGATGCATATGTGTGGCACATGTTTGTGCTAGGAGCATGCTCAGTTGTGCGCCCCCAGCACAGAGACCGAGCTGTAACCCACAGCTTTTGGTTTCGTACTAATGATTGAGAGATGGTCCTGATCACGTGATCACTGTCATAGTCAACTTTTGAATACAGATGTCACCAGCACGATGAGACTCTCAAATCAGTCATGACCACTCTGAGCCTGATGAAGGGGACCCTGTGTGGCTCCAAAAGCGCTTGATATTCTGAGTGGTATCGATTAATAAATGGATTTGCACTGATTTGAGAGTGTCATCGTGCTGGTGACATCTGTATTCAAAAGTTGTTCCACGTGCGGCGCCATCCGCAGTCACTTCGAGCACCCTTCAATATCTTGGGATTTCCGGTAAGGAGTGCCACAGGATTAATGGATATTTGCACTGTCATAGTCAGTCACATTGATCACCAGTTTTAGACCTCCCTATCTCTTTTTCCATTGTATCTTTTTCTCCTCTCTAGAGGAAGTAAAGAAATTTAAAAAACAGTACACATGTCATTGCCTTCATATTCACAAAGTACATCAGGAGATGACTATCGTGTACGTTTCTAGCCACATCTTTTAACCCTCATCTTACAGGTTCTTTTGGAAGTGGGAGGGCAATTTGTGACCCTGTAGGTCCAAATCAAACACCTCTGATGAGTACCTCAACAATTCTGAAATTGAGTTTGCTGGTATAAAACATGAAACTGTTTAGCATGCAATTTGAATATTGGATGAGATGATGCATAGTACACAATAAACCACAAACTGATAGACATTTCTGGGATTCTAGATGACTTATACACATTCACACCTAGTTCAAACAGTACATCTGTGTGTTAGATTCACATTATACCCAAGTGAGACATTCCTTCTGCTCTGACCATATGCAGACAGATAGACTGATGTTGTGAGATGTAAACAAAGGTTTAAACAGAGATGATGCCAAAAATTTAAATCACTGAACATAAAGGATTTAAGACACAGACCTTTATTTATATGTTATCAAAGTAAATCTGACACATGAGAAGTAAGATCACAGTGTTGTAAAGTTTTTTTTTTTAGGTTTACACATTTTTAAACTTATATTTTCTATCTGTTATTTTTTTTAAATCAAATCGTTATTATACAAATACATATTTGTTTACAAGGTGCTTTACTGGCACTGGTGTCACACAGCATTATAGGTTTTCTAAAGATAGAGCACAGCAGAAGGTGCTTGCCTGTAGACAGCCTCTCTTTTAATGAAAGTCTATAGGAAGCCCTACAGAGCAGAGAGAGATGGGGAGGGAGGGGGTGTACCATTTATTTAATTTAGTTGTGTGTCTAATATGAACCTGATCTATTAGGCTCTGTAAAATAGATTTTTGCTGCAAAGCAGTCAAGAGTAGCCTTGTAAACATGTGAAAGGGAGTCTAAAGTTCCTCCTGCCGGCTGGAAATACTACAGTGGAAACATTCAATACTTCATCTTTTCCTGACTATATATTAAACCTTTTAAAATAGTATTTGGCATTTTTAGTCTTGAACAATATATGTTATGCACTATGGGAAGAAGGTAAGCCAGTGTGATGCTTTGAGCAATGTTCTGCTGGGAATCCTTGGGTCCCGCCATTCATGTGTATGTTACTTAGACACCTACCATCTACCTACACATTGTTGCTCACCAAGCACACCCCTT